TGCTTCTGTTTTAAGAGGCATGGGTTAGAAAGAGACTTCTGGGGTTGTTGGGTTTTTTTGACCTAAACGCAGGAAGGGAAATCCAGCCGGCTACACATGTTTTTTGGGTGTATGTATGCGCTGCTTTTCATTTTACGAAGTGGGATTATAGCTGTGGGAACAAGAGTTGGCAGCAGGAACAATGGAGAATAGGAAGAGGAGAGGCAACGTGATTCCCACCCACCCCCCAACAGGAATTTTGATGTTTTATGTATTTATATGTATTTATGGTTTTAATGTTTTGTGTGAGTCGCCCAGAGTCCCCCATTGGGGGCGGAGATGGGTGGGGGAGAAATTTAATAAATAAATAAAATAAATGCCGTACAGACTAACCGCGGAGCAGAAGTCAACCGAGTTGTTTTGATGCTGAACGTCTTCGAAGAATAGGGGACGAGAGAACAGAACGGGGGGACCATCCCACGCAAGACTCCAGTTTAAAGCATGGCTTCCAGAGGCATCCGCGTGCACGCGCTTCTTTAGAGGTCTGCAAAACCCGGTTTCAAGTCTGCAGCCGTGGCCTCGACCGTTCCAGAAATCCTGCACACTTGGAAGAGAGCCATTTGAAGTTCAAACGTGCTTTTGAACTGATGAGGACAGCGGTTTCCAGCTCGAAGGATGGTGTTTCAGATCCCAAACACTGGCAGTCTGACACGCCGGGCACACCCATCTTCTTCTTCTCGTCCCCCTTCCACCACAAACTGACAGCATGCCTTTTAAAGGCCCTGGTTTGTCTCCAGACCAGAGCAGGATGAATATGCACGTTGTAAGCAGGCCGCGCACGGCCCTCCAGATCTGGCAGGAGACCTCTTCGTCAGACCGAGTTAGCGCAGCCAGCGATGAGGGACGCAGCCCAACTCCTGAAGGATCACGCTGTGTTAGCCATAAACAAAATCCCCTTCTGACAGGCTAAGAGTCTGCCTGGAAACAGGCTCTCTTGTAGGCAGAGACGGAAACTATGTTCCACTCGTAGAGTTAATTCAGGATTTCCTTGTTTCTTGCTTCCCACATTCCCTTTGCACTACAAAGGCACCAGCAGGGTCTAGCCTGCAACTTTATTTAGGATCCATTAAACAGCTTGGTCCCAGCGGCATAACAGAAGCCCTTCTCCTGCATTAGTATCAAGGCTGTTGTTTCCCTCCCCCCCCCCACAATGTCCTGAAGCACCCCATCAGTGCAAGCCGATGGCTGGAGAAAAGGGATTTGGGGCCATGACGTTTCAGCTGTAGAGCTCCCTGGCCAAGGAAGCTCAGCAAGATTTTTTTCAGTTACCATGTAGGCACCAAGATTCTGACTCTTGTCTGGGTCAGGTCTACCCACCCTTTTTAGTTCTGCAATCAATTTTTAGTTGGGTGTCACATGTCGCTGTTTCATTGTCGATTGCCCTGAAATTTGCAATACATAAATTGGTAGCTTAAAAGGCAAAGATGAGAAATTCCTCCCACTCTTCACCTAATCCTGAAATGGGGTGTAGACATGGCTTAAACCTTTGTCTTGTCTTGTCTTCCTTCCTTCTTTGAATATATTTAAGTAGATCTCTTCCTGCTTCTCTTTCTTTCTCCTTCTTTCTCCCTCCCCCCCTCCCTCCCTCCCCCTTTTTTCTTTTTAATTTGGCTGAATGTCTCAACCATCCAATGTGGCTGATGAAGAGAGCTTGGAAATTTGAAGGTGTGCACTTGACTTTATAAATCTTCTGTTGACTAACAAGCGGAGTGGCCTCCGTATAAA